TATATATATACATACACGCACACACACACACATACATACATACATACATACACACACACACACACACACGTATATATGTATGTATGTATGTATGTCTACAGCGCGTGGGTGATTTGTCAACCCTACTGGACACTTGGAGCCCAGTCTATCTTGCCGTCACAATGTATGATATGGAGCGTGTTGCAAATTTTAGCGACTAGCAACTTACACTCCGTGAGTGCCCTATATAGGCTGGCCTTTCATTAGAAAGTGGAATGTGTTATTTTCTCTTCCATATTCATAGTTGTTCTTTAAACAATAAAAAAATTCATTTTTTATTTTATCCCAATACGCGATTATTTGATAACATTTCCAGAAGGATATCCAAATCCCCAAATCTTCGATAGCGGCAGCCAGCCCTTCATGGGAAAAATGAATTGAAAAAAAAACAATTGTTTCCATAACCAAAGACGTACTCCATCGAGGCAGTGCTTGTTTCTTAAACTGATCAAAATATTTGTTGTGGTGTCCTCTTTTTGAGAAAAATATCTTGAATGACATGGTGTCAGTTTGTGTGCACGTTTGCTTAACGTTTTTCTTGGAATGTGTCTGAAGACTTGTTTCACTGAGCAGTGGTGGAGGGCCTCTTTGCTTAAGGGCTGTTGCAGTGTCAGTGAACCAGAGCGGCAGCCCTGAGGGGTGAGAGAGTTGACAGAAAAGGAGATCAGGGAGGGAAAGGAGGGCAAGTCATACCTGTGCAAGACAAGAACTGACACCAAGAAGGAATATTCCCTTCTTCGTAGTCACGCAACCTTGCTCTGTTCTATTCTTTCTTGCCAAATGCACAAACAAAGCTAAAAATATATGATGACAGATATGCCCTGCCTACTTAACAGTGTGATTTTATTTTTAAAAGTAACCAGGATTCTAATGGTACACAATAAAGCAGGATGTAGGTTTTCTTTCTTTGTCTGCCACCTGTACAATGTGTACCTGTACATTTTATATACACATATCAATATAATAAGTGGCTACATTTCTGCAGGTCAAATGAGAAGGCCACCTAATAGGTTATTAGGGTTTGGGGATTTTTGGTCAAGTTCACCCAGACCCTATAATACCTGGTTTTGGCCCTACTTCTAGAATGAACACAGCACAATACAGATTGATGGGTTATGATTGTGATTTTGAATGTTTTTGGAAAACCAGAAAAGACACCATATTTAGAAAACACAATGACATTGTAGCAAAAACACTCAACCAGATGTGTGAACAGGTGAGCAAAAGCAAAAAGACCTTTCATCAAATACTAAAATAAAAGTGACTTAGGCAGAATGTACTGTGATTTAGGCATTTTTAATTGTTGTATTTTTTTCATTTATTTTCTTTTTTTTTTTTATAAATGCAAATATTGCCAAACCCACGTTGTTTTGCTCTCCTAAATGTCAGCAAGATGTGTAACCTCAACATTAACCAAGTTGTTTCTTCATGTTTAACCTGAACCAGGTTTTCCTTTCCACCCTTAGAGGTACACTTGATTGGCTTGAACATTGCCACTTATATAATAGATCACTGTAAAAAATGATGTCATCACTAAATCCACCCCCCCCCAAAAAAAACTCAGTCGTGATTCGATGCATTTTTTTATTCTCACATTTAGCACATCTTAATGATGCCCCTTTTTTAAAATTGTTATTTATTTATTTTTGCATCTCAGCCTGTCAATTGAGGGAAGGAAGCAAAGCTTTGTAATATTCTTTCCTGGCTTGTTTTGTCAAGTTCACTTGTCACCTCGTGTCTGAAAACAGTGACCACTGGTCATCAAAATTCATATGCAGAGCTCTGCTCCTGTCCACTTCAACCAGTAAAAAAAATAAAAGCGATCTGCCCAATATTTTAGATTTTACTTAAATTATGAGGTCCTATGAGGAAACGCTGTTATCTCACTACAAAATGATACAGACACGGTAAGCGGTGTGAAATTATCTAAGGCCAGTAAGAGCTTAATTTCATACCGCTACCCTTGGCTGTATCAGCAACCGAGCGCTAATTGAGCTCGAACAGCTGCAGAGCTGCAGTGGCGTTAGCCTATTAGTTGAGGTGGGCTTAATGGCTGTGTGCCTCTGGAGTCTAACAAAACTTTAATGTTGCTAATTGAAAACTCAACCAATAAAAGCTGCTATAACTTGACCCAGATGACCCTGTCTTTTCAAATTTGATGATAGTCTCGTCTGAAGAAAGTGGTAGCGCCACCGACAGGCTAAAGGAAATACATGTTCTCATTCTTTCATGTTTTTCCTCCTCGCGGGGAAACCAGATCTACCTTATATTTTATCAAAGGAGTGTTTAGGCCTTTGTGATTTTAAAACTGTTGTCAACAAGAATGGGGCATTTTGAGAGTAGTTGGGTATTAACTGATTTCTCCAAAACATCCATCCATTTCTCTACCGCTTATCCGGGGTCGTGTCGTGGGGGCAACAGCTTGAGCAGGGAAGCACAGACTTCCCACTTCCCAGCCACTTCTTCCCGATCTTCCCGAGGAATCCCAAGGCGTTCCCAGGCCAAACGGGAGACATAATCTCTCCAACGTGTCCTGGGTTGCCCCGGCGGCCTCCTGCTGGTGGCACATGCCCAGAACACCTCATCAGGGAGGCATCCTGAACAGATGCCTGAGCCACTCTGAGCGCCTTCAGGATGACCGAATTTCTCACTTTATCTTGCCCGGACACCCTGCGGAGGAAACTTATTTCGGCCGCTTGAATCCGTTCTTTTGGTCACGACCCTCAGTTTGTGACCGTAGGTGAGGGCAGGAATGTAGATGGTGGATGATGGAGCTCACAAAATAAAACAAAAAAAAGTCCCCCAAATAATTTGATACAATTGGAAATGTAAAGCAAATATCATTGTCCTGATCAAAGAATACCAAAGGAGTTTTTTAATGAAAAATGGGGCATCTGGGCCTGTTGATCCCTTTAAGAAACAGCAGCAGCAGACCTCCAAGCGGTGTTGGGCGTGCCTTCGGGCTACGAACAGTTCCCAGTCAACAGCCGGCAACTGGGTCTGCAGGTACCCGGGTCACTGCGGCTTTGGGAGCCGCTTTGGGACCCAGTTGGAGGTTGCTCAACAGCAACAGCAGCAGTGTTTGCTAGTTTTTGCTCGCAAAAAATTATATTTAAAGTTTAGATGTCTTTCATAATCCATTTATTTGACTGAAGTTATATTTGGTGTCTGAAAAAATGTAAACAACCCAAACTCCTATCAGATGAAAACAAATCAAAGAAGAGCTAAAGCTTCACCCGTGCACAGTCAAGCCCTCTTTGTCATGCTTTCTGCTATTTTGTTTGTAGACTCAAATCTACTTAAGTCAAAGAGAGGCCTTTGGCAGAAAGTGTTTTAGTGTCTCCTTAATTACAATGAGTGTTATTTAGAGATAACTGAATTCCAAAGCTGTTTGCTCTACTGCGTTTGTTATCTCACATGATGGTGTAGGTCACAAAAGCAAAGATTGGGCCGCTGCAACGTATCTTTTTTTTTCCAAATGTTTTATGATTACATTGTGACAGCCAGAAAGATAAGTCATTTGAATGAATTGAATACACTGTTTGTATTTAGCTCTTGTTTTGACGGTTCTTCTCCTCTGGGTCATGAGAGGCATGTGGTCCTCTAACACAGTCGGCCTTGATTCTCGGACTCACACCCAACAGCTCTTGTTTCAGGAGTTTTAGTCTGGTCAGACTCATATTGCAGGGTGATAAATCTGTTGCTAATCTCTCGGGCCTGATGGTATACTTGGACTGTGTGTCACAGTCAACCTTTTCTCTACACACACACACACACACACACACACACACACACACACACACACACACACACACACACACACACACACACACACTTTCTGAACAACTTTTCTAAGCAACAGGAAAGGGAGGTGTCCCAACTCACTTTTATGGGTACCGTGAGGATAAGTTGAAAAAAAACTCGTTTATATACATACACTAAATAATCTATTACTCTTCAGAGAAATGAATGACTGTATTCACAAACTGGCCCTCTCTCATTTCGAGATATACACTTGTTTCATTCTCTCAAACAAATAAAATACTCAGTAGGGGGCACCAGAAAATAATTTGGGGACGGGATATCTGGAAGTAGTTCTAATCCTGTTTGGGTGACAGACAAAGTGACAACAGGCCATGACAGACGTGTCTTTGACACCCTTGGCCCCCGTCCGTGTTCAGCCTGATAGCTTGAACCCAGTTCGAGGTGTCGACACAGAGACCTTTTCAGTTGAAGGCCTCACTTTGTTTTCCTCAGACATAAACTGCATATGTGTCTCCGTTTAACATGAAAATGTTATTCCATATTGTTGTAAATTTCTACTTATGTTGTCTTCCTAGGAGACTTGCCGGGAATGACTTATCCTTCATCCACCCTGAAGCCCTGTCTGGACTGCATCAGCTCAAAGTCCTGTAAGCACGCACCCACCTTGCCGCCACCACTGTCAACACTCTCATGTAGATACAAACACACACTGTGACAGTGTGAAGTTTTCCACCCACAAGTGGGGGAAAAGTAAATATTTCACTATGGGGTGGTCCAACTTTGTGGCTCTGTTCGTTAGTGATATCCCAAAACATACAAATTCATTCTTAGTTGCAATGGACAAAATGCTATTTCTGTCCCTGGCCCAACAACTGTTTTTGTTTACACATTTTGTGTAAAGATTAGTTCTGCACACTTCACATTTGTCTGCACAGTGCAGTATACTTTCAAAAGCTCACACATTGAAAAAGTACATAATATTACATACACGTGCATACAAAGTCCTGTTGATATATAAGTGAGCTCTTTCCTCAAGACCCTAAAAGTAGTGGACCTGTAGTGCTCGAAGTACGTTGCATCTTGTAAATACATGGATAAAAATAAATGATTACATGAACATTATCGTGCTTTGCGATATGGAAATATTATATATCCAATAGAGGTAATTTTATATCCTGTGGATAATATATGTCCCAACATAGTATTTGTCTTTAAAACGACATGAAATGAACAACAATTTTCTTTATTGGACACATACTTCATATAGAAAACACATCAAGGTGAATAAAAGATTAATACAAATAAAGAACAAATATCCCATGGCCATGGAAATAGAATTCCAAATATCTGGTAGTACAACCAGTTTTCCAGGAATACAATTAAGTGCAAAGAATTAAAAGGAAATTAAATAATAACATGTTTCAAGTAACATGTAAGAATGCCTACCGTTTACCCAGTAAAAGTGCTCATAAATGAACTGTTTCAGAGGTTGAATTTTAGGATTAGGTAGAAAATTTGAACAAAGTGTGCACTTTGTGATAAGTTTTTGGAATTTTGCATTGTGATAGGTATGGGCATAAGGTTTGCAAAAACCACCGCATGCAAGTTGCGGTCACTACCTGATGGCCACAATGCAGACAATCAAATGTGGCCGCGACAGAAGGCTGTAATGCCATAGCTCAGCCCTTGTTAGCAATAGAATCTTGTACAGCACCGCTTTAATTATGTGGGTTTTTTTTTTGTGTTACGGACCAGTCATCTATCTGTTTCAAGGTCATTTTAAGGTCAAAATACTATTTTTAAGGTAATTCACCCATAAAAAACTAAGACAACAAAGATGATGCCATCTCTCTATCCCATGTCTAATCACCTATCAAACTTACAGTTTTCTTAGATGTCAATACATAATGAAAAACATAATTTAACTGCATTCTTTTTATGAAAGAAGAAATGTATTACGTTGTTGTTACCTAAGTCGTTAGTGTACTTTCATGCGTGATTAGTGCAGCCCCCTTCGCATCTGCACAATAAGCTACAGCAGAGTGCAGCTCAATGGCACCTACTAGATACCACATAGCAACAGCGGAGGAGCAGCAAGCCTGCCTGGCAGACATCTACTAGATCTGTTCAATGTGGCACCCACTCTTGGATTCTGGCATTTCATTCCCCGCCCCATTCATTGGGGTCTGCAATCTTGGGGGATTTTGAGAGGGACTATGTCCAGACAATGGCTGCAGAGAACAGGGCATGCTTAGCTTCCTGTGTCTGGGAGGATTGAGTAGGACTTCAGACCATGGGTCAACATGAGCTTTCTCACTTGATTTACTGAGTCTGCACTGCAGTTCTTACTGTACATGAGTACATTACAGTCCAATCTAGCACTCAAGGCATTGCGCATGCACGGATTCCAGTGTGAGGATTCTCGGGTCTTGGGTAACGGCGGTGAAGGTGTTTGTGACCTCATGAAAGGCAGCTCACTCATTCCATGAAGCCTTTTTTGCCAATGCCCAACATCACTGATAGATCACTGCACTTTGTGTATGCTTGGAAGGGGAGCGCAAGCCAATTTTGAGGTTCCATCATTTGCAAGATTTGGTGGATTGGAATATTTGTGCATGGTTTTCCTGATTCAAATCCGCCCCGCCCCATTCGACAAAAGCATATTACGAAGCAGAATAAAAGGGTGAGTAGCGGAAACAAACCTGCAGGATTTCCTCCGTAGGGGTGATGGTCTAACATCTAAAATAACAATATAAACGATAGAGGGTCGCAACATACGGTATGCTTTTTTTTTTTTATATTGCAGTATATTGTTATGTTGCACCGTTCTAACCCTGAGTTTGAACCAAAACTGGTAGGCTATGCATTTATTTATGGGAACATGTTAATTTGTGGCATTTTGTCTCCAATCAGAATATATTTTTACAAATGTCAACAAATTGAAGACATCCTACAGAGCTTACCATTGCAGTTGGTTTGTTTGTACTGTATCTGTTAAACCAATTGGTTTGATTGAAAACATGGATATCTTTTTTTTTTTTTTTAATCTTTAGAATGCTCCAGAATAATCAACTGAAGACAGTACCGAGCGCGGCCCTGAAGAATCTTCATTTTCTCCAGTCTCTGTGAGTTCCAAAAACCTCTTTACTTGCATGCACACACACATACACTCAGACAGTGGAGATGGGCTTAATGTATCACTTTTTATTATTATTATTATAGATATATTATAAGGCACAAATTCACTTTAAAAGTTGGAAAGCGAGAACATCCTAGTTTTATTTAAGATATTAAAGTTGTGCTGTATCATGCATTGCACTTCCTGTACTTCAAAGTCTACGTACTGTTATGCAGTGCCTGTATTTGACTTGTGGATAATTCGTTTTTCAATGTTAAATATATTTTTTTGTTGTTGAGTTTTTAACTACACAATACTGAATGTTGATGGTTTTTGATTTTTTTTTTAATGTACACAAAAAATTACACCGTATTTAAAAAAAAACCTAATAAAATAAAAGCCATAAGAACTAAACTAAAAGCAGACCATTTAAAAAAAAAAACAACTAATAAACCCGCTCTGAAAAATAATTAGTTCGCTACATTTGAAAAACAATACTCAAACAGAAATCAAAACTAAATATCATTTTTTTTAAATCCCAAAATAGTGTAACCCTACCATGGAAAAAATGTTGTCGGGTTTTTGACAGGCGTATGAAATAAATGAAAATATTTACTTCTCTTGGAAATAAATTGTCAAATGTCTCTGAATACCCCACAATTCACTGGCGGACCATTGGTTGGGAAAAACTGCAATAAAGGACAACAGTGCATGTACATGTATAAATGTATTCCTCACAAGGGGAATTCAGGTTCTCTTGCTGTAGTAATATGTTCATGTGGAGCCACCGCTCACTTTGTATGAAGCCCCATAGAGCTAAATGTCAATCAAGACTGTTTTTCCTTCCAGCACAGACACTTGAGGAATTTTGAGGGAGGGCGAGACACAGTGAGAGGAAGGATAACGGCAGAAAACAGTTCGGTGACGGTGTTAAAACACTTACATGTCCAATCGAAAAGAATTTCTTTTGTCATTCTCCTTTTCCCAATTTGAGCCAACTTACCCAAACCAAACTTCTCCGAGTACTCAAAAATGAAATA